TGTATCTTATAGTCATCTTATTTAGTGCTGTGCTTTTTAGGAATAAGAAGAGCATTAATCTGTGAGAGCACTGTTCTGCATCTTTGTATTATTATGTTCTGCTAGAGAAGTTCTGGAGATGTCGTGAAAGGTGTTTGGTGAGAAAAGACTGATACAAACTTGCTGATGTGACTTGCTAAAAATGACTTCCCAATTTCGTCAGTAATATGGATCCTTACAGTAGCCTGCAAATTCCCTGGCATTGCCCATAACCTGCAAATAGCAAGTATTTTCAGTGTCTTCCGGGACTTGCTAAAGGCTCTGTTAACTGAAGAGACTGCATGAGATCTGAAGACTCTCAAATTAAGCAGTTTTCCAAAATCTTGTAGAATTTAAAAAAAAAAACAATAAAATAATCTCAGTGGTTCAGTGGTTTATATTTAAATGTTAGCTTGCTACCCTGAAGTAGGAAGCTTTCCACTGACTTTAGTAATTATTTTTGATCATTCCCATAAAATGGTACAAATAATTTAAAAATATTTAACATTTCTAAGGTAAAAGCAGCTTATATGATTTAATGGATTTTAAGCACAGGAAAAACCCCTCACTTTGAAAGCACTTAGAACAATTACAGTCTATAGGCAAGGTTTGAGCTGAGTTATGTTTGCAGATATTTTTGCTAGTTTCACCTTTTTTGCCAAATTTCAGAATAAAAATTAGGAACTTAAATATCAAAGGAATATATTTTTCTCTTCTGAAACGGAACTGTAATAACCATATGAATTAAACTATGGTGAGACAGGCTTCAGTAAGGAAGGAAGTCACAGAACTTAATGTATTGAGCTGCTGCTTGCTATAGAGACAGAGGGGCAAATTAAAAAATTTGTGTCTCTTCTAACTTCCTGAATTTTTAACTGTTCAACCATTTTCCTTGCCAAAGAGTTGTGTAAAAGCAAACATCTGTTTGTATGGTGTCTTTTGTGTAAGACAGGATAAAGATGGATAGCGAGTCCTAGTTGTGGTTGCCGTTTGGAAGCCAGCTTGGAAATCCAGCATGTTCTGAGGGAAAGGAAATTACTTACTGCTTATGATCTCCCAAAACATACCCAGATACCTGTTTTAAGGTCTAGTAGTTTTGTGGAGATGACAGAAGCTACATGGTGACTTAAGTAATTAGCAGGAGTTGAGGAGGTGTTTTTGCACGTTAATAGGTATGATTTTTCCACTGCCAAACTGTATAAAATTCCGAATACACTCTATACAGAGTTCAGTCTTGCTTTAAGTCCATCCCAACAGTATTATCTTAGTACTGTAAGAAAGTTCTTTTGAGAACCAATGGCAGGGTTTGTTTATTTGGTTGTGTGTGGTTTTTGTTTTTTTTTTTTGGGTGTGTGTGTTTTTTTTTTTTTTTTTTTTTTTTTTTTTCCCTGCAAAGTGAAGTACTGGCTTAAATTAATGTATCCTGACCTAGTTGAACTCGATGATCCTTATGGGTCCCTTCCAACTTGAGATACTCTGTGATTCTATGATTCGTCCCTACAGTTGATCTGCTGCCACTCCCCAGGGCAGCTGTAGGTTTGTACCGGCAGTGCAGATAAAACCTTGGTGCATTGTGGAATGTGTTTGTTGGCATTTCAACTATTTTCTTCTGGAAGAATTACAAATGAATGAACTTCCAACTCATATTCCAGGATTTCAATGTGACATCCTCTTATGTTGGCTGCTTTTTTTGCTCTTCTTCTCCCATGTCTGCTATCTTTACCAGTTCGAGCTATGGACATATGTAGAAGTGTTTTCAAACATCCCTTTTTCCACTGTGATCAGCATGTCCCATTGAAGGATCAGAAGCAGAAATCACTGGGAATATTCAGGCTGAAATAAACTGTGACATAGAGAAAGGGTCAGGAAAGCAGAAGTAAGTCTCCTTTCCAGTCTCCCATTTAGCACACACCTGACCAAGACTCAATAGTTGCTAATGCAAAATATGTATTGTTTCATGGGCCACAAGTCAGATTTTTCCATCACAAAATGCTCTCAGTTCAGAGAAAGCAATTTCCTTATAACAGTTTCCTCAGATGCACTTTTTTTTTCCTCCATTCCTAGGGGATTTGCAGTGCAGGTTAGTGGTAAAGTCACTAACTTTCAGAGTTTAGTATTCCCTCTCTAACAACATTGTTATGTGACATGTTTTTATGACATGAAGTTTTCACTGCTAGGTGGATAGGTACAAGAATTGAGCTTCTCAGCATGCATGGAGGAAGATCTTCATGTGCTACAGTAACTTGCAGTAGGTCTTTGTGTCCCTTTTGGCAAGGAAAGCTCACGATCTCTCATCCTGAATACAATGCTGGTATAATGCGAAAGTGTGGCAACCCCATAGGCTGGAATAAGAGCCCAAGGGAAGGGGAATGTGATCTCCCCAGTTTCCCAAATAAAACAGATTGATCTGACATTCTACAGTTGACTGAATTTCTTTCTCTATTAGGCACTTCTGAATGTGAGCATTTCTTCTTTGCATGTAAATTACGTTATTTTAGTGTGAACAAAACAGGGACTATTTATCTTTCCGAATGTTGTTAGGCTTTTTAACAAGAACATTTTTATACTATAACTCAGACTTTCTGTTATTATAGAATAAAAACATTAGCAAATTAGATGAAAATATTCAAAGGGTCTGATTTTCCAGATTGTACACTGGTTATTTAGGGAACCTTTTGGATATTTGTGTACAATATATTTTACAGTTTATCATAAAAAGTGAAAAATCCAAAATTGTTCCTTTCAAATACTATTTGGAGTTTCAGGAAATTATGCTATAGCTACAAATGCAGTTTTGTAATGCTCATGGCTGAAACGTCCTATAAAGCTTTTGCTAATAGAGCTCATTAAAGAAGGAAGTAAGCCTACATATCTCAAGGTGCAAAACAAAATTGGCTAATACAATCTAAGTATCAAACTAACTCTGAAAATGTGAAAGCTATCTTCATCTCAGATTCCTACCTGAGAAAATTTGAACTGTGTCAAAGATGTAACTACTGTAACATAGGTTTTTCCCTGATGATTGAACACTGTTCAGCAAGGAGTATTAAGGTCAGCTCTGGCCTCTCAGTGAATCTATTTTCTTGTCTTTGCTTTCTGCTAATTTTTCTAATATGAAAAAGAAGTCAGATATTCTAAGGTAATTTAAATCATAAACTGCTGTGTGTACTGTATAGATTCAGTATTGTTTTGGGAGGGGGGATATTTTTACTGGATAACAAAAGGAAAAACATACATGATAGTCAAATGCCATTTGTAATGGACTGTAAAGGGATTGATGAGGACAGCACTTGAGCACTTGGAAAAGTTTGTGTTCTGTAAGGTATATGGGATTTCAGTGTGGCTGGGAATTAATATCATATAGGTGGCATAGTATACATATCAGGAGGATGTAATGGGAGCACATTTCCCTTTTATAGGTCCTTTGATGCTGAAACTTCTTATAAAAACCTTACAGAAAATTTCAAAACATTAGCCCTTTCTAACTGACTCAGGGTAAAAATGCAAATAGTGAAGGTCTGTAAGAATAGAATTTGCTTCCCCATTTTTAAGTTTCATTAGTTTTTGAAACAAGATAGTTCATTTATTTGCCCAAAAGGTGCGACCTCCCTCCCCAGCCCCAACTATTTTTCTTTTTTTTTGTCCTAGGAAAAAGTAACCCCAACTGAGAGGTGATATCCAGGATATCAAGTTATTAAATTATACAATTGCTACCAAAGGTACTGAGATATTGTTAATATAAGGGCATTTTAAGGACAAATTGATGCCTAATCTGCATAAGAAGGTATCACCACCCATACAGCTATAATCGCTTTAATAAACACTTTAATTCCAGTAAGCAGTGTTGTGGTTTTCTTTTTGTTGTTGTTGTTTTTTGATTTGATTCAAACTTCCCTAAGCCAGTTAGCCCACTTACATAGCATGAAAGTATGCTGAGGACTATGCCAACAAAATTGTATTTGTTTCAGATCATACAATTCCTAATGACAAAGTTCTTCTGAATACAATGTATCCTGCAGAGACTTAAATCTATACAGGGAGCCGCAATGATGACATCAAGGTCTTGCACAACTGTAAGGGCCAAGTGCTATAGATCTGTGTAGATTAAGAATGTATTTCATCATGGAGCATGGCTGGCAATTAGCATTATGAGAGATGCTCCCTAACCACAGCTGGAGAATCTGTAGACAAACACTGGAAATGATGAATTTCAACAAATATATTTATTTGAGATGGAATTTCATGGTAAATGCATGGATCACACAAAGTAGATAGCCTAAGGTCAGGAGAATGGCAAAGACGTGACTACATTTGTCTCTTCCCTAATTGCTCATCTCAGTTGCCTTTGTCATTTTTGTTTGTTTCTAGAGACAGTTTTTGGAAGACTTTTGTATTGTCTGAATGCATAATTTAGAAGTTAAGTGAAAACTCAAAAACATAGATGTGTGGGAGAAGATGGCAGTGTCCCACTCATTTCTGTGTGTATCAGCCTATTCTTATGGTAATATTTTGGCAATGTGCATACTCTTAAACACATTGTTTCCTTTTTCCCCTGTATTATTTTCAAATTGTCATTCCAATCTTTTCTCTTATTAACTGACATCTGTCTTTTTTTAGCTCTTTTTAGCAGTCTTGTGTTTCCTTGTCTGCTTTCTTTCCTTTATCTTGTTTGTGCCTTTTTTTCTTTCAGAAAAATCTGAAACATGAAGTTGTAATACGGACTATAAACTGGTCAATTATTCACTTTTATCTCCACTCAGAAATGTTGTTGTCAGCAGTAATAGGAGGAGGAGACCTTTTTTAGGAATGCTGTATACAGTGACAGAAGATGGAGGTCACTAAAACTAAGGAAGAGCAGCCTTTAGGAAGGGACCTGAGAAGTAAAAATCTGTACCAGTAGTTAGATTCAATTGTTATATTTTATATTCAAAATGTCTTTCCAGTGGCAACAACAATAACAATTGTTTTTAATTCTCTTTCAGCAACAAGAACAAGACCCAACTAACTTATACATTTCTAATTTGCCGCTATCAATGGATGAGCAGGAGCTTGAGAACATGCTGAAGCCATTTGGGCAGGTTATCTCCACAAGAATACTGCGGGACTCAAGTGGGACAAGCCGTGGTGTTGGCTTTGCAAGGTACTTCAGCGCTGTTAGCCTTGCTGGCAGCTTTTTTCCTTTTTTGAAAAGGCAGAAATAGGAGGAAAAGGCAGAAATAGTTAAAAAATTACCAAGCTTTTAAAGAAGAAGGACATCTAGATGGAGATACCAGCAGGGTTTTGTTAATTCTTCCTTTGATAAAGCAAATATGGCTGTGTCCCGTCTCACTTTGATGGCTAAAGCTGAATCTATTGCTCTTATTGGACAACTATCTAGATTGAGTTCACTCTCCACTTCATCCTCTTCTCTGTACTTCTCCTTTCTCCTCTGTCCCTGGGCCAGTAAGCAAGAGTTATGCTGTGCTTCACAGAGACTTCTCCTGTGCCTTTTCTGACTTTTGAGGTTTGAATTCAAGACAACACCATAAGGAAGAAACCCTTCTCCCCACCCCTGTCCCTCTCCCCGCCTCCACCTCTATTTTTTTTTTTTTTTTTTTTTTCTTCATTAGTTCCTTTGAGAAAATCAACTTGTCATTGCCCTTTGAACATCAGCCCTTTGAATTTTCTGGCTCATTAACATGTTGTCATCTGGGAAAGAAAATATTTTTATTCATTTACAGTAAATTTCACCTTAAAATATTTGACACCTCAGTCAAATATCTCTCCCAAATCAACAAGAACAAATATTTTCCATAAATTAATAGATACCTCCCAAATAATCTGTACACGAGTCTACTTTTTCTCTATTTAATTCACCTATTTGTTCTGCGGTGTTTTCATCAAAGTCTTTCTGTGCCTTTCTAATATTTTTCTATCTTTTGTTAAGTTCTGCTTTAAACCTAGTATGGCAATCAAAATTTGGAGGCTTTAGATTGGAGATTTCTATAATCAAAAATAGGGGCATGCTTTGGGCAAAGGATTGAGATTCTCAAAATATGTTGTAGAATCTCTGTCAGCAGTCAAATTCCAGTAATTCAGATGTTCAGCCAATATTACAATAGTTCTGTATTTGAACAAACAGTAGAATCTAAAATTAGTTCACAGAAAAAAATGAACAAATTATACCTCTTGATGAAGCCAAAATTTTTAAGGATTGGTTTCCCTGTGAGTTGGCTATGGTAGTTAACAGCACTGTGATTTTTATTTTTCTGTTTTTAAATCTCCTCCCCACCCCCAATTTATTTGTTTGGCAGACCGTCCAGTTTCAAGAAGATACAAAGGAACAAATTTAGAAACAATGAGATGAAATGCCTTTATTTAAGAGTGCAAAGCCAGCAATTTTGGTTTCTACCAAAATTTCTTACTTCCCCCTTTAAATAAATCAAGAAGTATTTGTGATATTTTTTTGATGTAAATTTAATTGGTATTTTTTTTTTTCGTTCATACACTTGTATTTTTTTCATATAAGCCTATGCGTAAGTATTTGAATGTGGACTCCATACAAGTATACACAGAATGTGTATATGTGTCTTTGGATGATGTACAAAGCAATATATATCCAAAAGTTATATTTTCTGATTTTGAAAAATATACTTGCTTAAATGCAGCTTTCACTTTTTGGTACTATGAAGGCCAGAGTCCAGTAACACCCAAGCTAAAATTCAGTAGACATTATGAATGCTTACCAACTTTACCTTGAAACAGTGATATTTTAAGAATACTTTTATTCTAGTATAGCCAGAAGAGTTTTAGAATTGTATGTAAAGGTCCAAAAGACTTGTATGTGTCCAAAACCTCGTTTGTATTGAGGACATTAAAAGAGATTAGTTTAAAGTAAGTATTTTCTCAATAGGTTCTCCGTTATACATTATATGTTTTGTACATATACATAAACATGAAGTTATTTTTATATACATGTTTATTTATACACATACATATATTATACATAATTTATAGAATAAGCTATTGCTGTCATATCTAATCAGAATTTATCCCCTTCTGCAAGGTAGGTATTGGAACATTTTTGGATAAATATTAGCTAGTTAAAGTTGCCCAAGAAACATGTAGACATGAAATAAATATTTTCATTTCTTGCCTTTGGGAACATTTTATTAGGTTAATAAGGGATAATGTATTTTATCAAGTCCAGACTTGAGTGTTAAACTAAAGTATATTGTTTGTTTCATGTGAGAAAAAAAAAACCAACTGGATTTCTTTGATGCAGATCCAACAATCCAGAACTTCTGAAAATTCTCTAGAAGGTATTTTTGAAACCATGAGGAAAAGTTCTTGTTCAGTCTGGCATTTTCATGATTTTGGTTGCTGTCTGTGACTATATTTTGTCAATCTGTGCAGAAAGGCTATTTGAATTAAGAGGGTGCCAAGACGTAGTCATTTTTAGTACTGCTTCTTTGCTGCTGAGGCCATTGGCCCAATTTGTAGTTCTGAATTACAGAATGTAATGAACAAATACAAATAAAATCTCTGTTCAGCTTCATCCAAACATAATTTTGCAGGCAGCCGCAAAATATATTCTTCTTTTAAAATGAGTTTTGTTATACTTGCATGTCTCAGTCATCCATTGCAACTTAGTCCAAGCTGGCAGTTAGGACTGACACATCTGCATTGCAATATAAGGCTGTACCTGAAACCTACAGAGCCACTCCCAGATTAGTGCTAGCTCACCAGTAGTCCACCCAGTCTGTTAAGTCTAGTTTTGACAACATAAGTGCACAAACCCGTTCAGGATGCTGGATAAATTCTCAGTAGCTGCCACAGCTATTCTGTTATTGGTTTCTGTTTTGAAGGTAACCTGGAAACAATTAAATAAGAGATAGGTACATCATTTAGTTGGGACGATATGTATAAGCTAAAAGCTGCAAAGACAGTTTGGGTCATGTGGTCTGGCATGTTTATATTTTAGTTTATTACTCTTAACCTGTACAGACGCTTCAGAATCCTCTATCAAAAGCGACATTAACATTTCTTGTATGCTTCATGGATACTAGGGATTCAGTTATGAATGACTGTGGATCAGTCTTTCTGCTTCCTTCAAGACAGCATAGGTACTTTGTATTATAGCTGTTCTGCATAATTTCTAACTAAATAAGGGTATTGTGTTTGCAGTTTGGCACTGGTTTTGGCCTCAGGACGTGTAAAATGTCAACTGAGTTTAGTTTTACCTTTCTGAAGTTGTGTGTTCTCAGAAAACATCTCTGTTGCTCACACACAGGAAAGTAAGCCACAAAAGTGAAGTGAGAAAAATCCAGAAATGTGATTTAAAAAATCACAAACATGGGAATCTGGATGCATGTTTAATTTATGTAAATTATTCTTTATTTTCTTAGGATGGAGTCAACAGAAAAATGTGAAGCAGTGATTGCTCATTTTAATGGAAAATTCATAAAGACACCAGCAGGAGTTTCTGGTATGTTGCATGTATTTCTAACAAGATGTATGAATGGGTTGCTGCTTACATAGTGGAAGCCAGTTACACTGATTGTTGTATCTGGCTTCTCATTCAGAGGCAGGCTTATTAAAATTAAACTGTGTCTTGTTGGATGACTGTAATACTTGCTCACTTGGAACACAGTGTATCACTTTCCTACTGTAAACCTTTTCTAGGAATCTAGTAGTGTTCTCTCCTAGCAAACAGACAAGCGGCTAAAATGCCTTAAGCTAGCTATGCACAAATTTACATCCCACATAATCCCAGTTGAAATCAGGAGACAAGTATGTGCTGTATATGTATCAGAACAGAATTTGGCTGATTGTCCACAGACGGTTTTTTGAGAGGCAAAAAATAGACTACTTTTGCCATCTGTTGATGATTTTTTCAAAGTAATTTTCAAAAAAAGGTTTGATTAGAAAATAATAGATTCTGCATCAGTTCCTTAATGCCAGGCACTTTCTTTCATTGGGGAGCTGTGACTTTCAAGTCAACATATGTTTTGAGGTTCTTCAGGAAGATGGAAGGAGGTCAATGAACAATGCTGCATCTAGAAATATTGTGCAAGGCAAAATGCAGAGAAGCTACATAGTGCGCTTTTATTGTCACACCAAGTTCCTCATTGGATTGCCTGCTCTGTCAGCACTGTTTCTAAGAGGCAAAATGTATATTCTATAAACACTTAAAAATAAGGAAAGGAAATTCAGAGCAGTGGAGTAAAATATAGGACAATAAAGGAGGAAAGAATACATGCCTGACATTCCAGGCAGCTTTCAGTAATCATTTTATTGAGAACCCTAAGTGAAAATTTTACAGATTACATTGTTGATGTGCTTGCTGAAGCCACCTTTACCCTGCTCATTAAATGTTCTCTGCAGCCAGACCCTGACACTGAGGAGGAGGAAAGCAGCCCTCAGCAGGCAGACAAGAACGTGACTTGTTTAGTAGAACTACATACATGCCTCAACCCTGAAAGATTACTCCAGTTTGAGGCAGTCTGTGCTGCAGTAGGGATGGAAAGCTACTTCAGAGCACAGGAAACCACTCCCTTCACCAACACTAATCTAATACAGGGTTTTGACTTTCCTGGCTTGGCTTTTGCAGACCCTTTGTATTGGGATTGATTGCTGAAATTATTTAGTTAAAACTCTGTTATACGTAGGGGCTGTAACATTTATTTTTCTATTTCATATATTTAGCAATCTGTGGTTTATGACATGGAAAATCCCTTTAGGGGCAAGGAGATCATGGAACGATTTTCTCTGAATGCTGACGGCTCTGATCCACCCTCCGTGATTAGTTTTATAGTGCTGCTATGTCTTAGACATAAATAAGAGTAAAAAGTATGGAGAGACCAAGAGTTCAAATTAACATCTAAGGGTTTCTATCCAATTAGAGCTAGTAAAAAACTGTAACAGAACCTCCTATTAGTGCTTTTTAGTTTGCTCAGATTTATTTTCACTTGTGTTATCCTTTTCTCAATGAATGAGCCATCAGGTACATCAGTGCTAATCATACTCTGTCCCTGGTGGACTGTTGCTGAAGTTGGAGTTGCACCTTTATATGATCAGGTTCAACCAGGTACAAATAGAAGGTTGGTGCATGGAATTGCAGGAATGATTTCTGCAGTGTGGAGGAAAACATTTACCAGAAAAGTGTGATTAATTAGGGACAAGAAATTTGCACAGAACTGGTTACTGTCAGAAAGTGGAAACTAAGAGGGGTCTCAAGATGTATTCCATCGCAGGGACTTTGTCTTCTAACGCTTACTTGGCAGTCGTCTAGGCTCTCTGTCTACTATAGGCAGAGAAGCACATACCTCCAGAGGCTGATGTATCTTTGCTGTCAGCTCTCCTTGCGGTTACAAAGACTGTCTAGTTGAGTCAGTGAGAAATAGATAACTCCAAATGTCTGAAAGTCAGGTAGGTGAGACAAATCGCACCCTCCATGACACTGAAAAATGTGATAAATAGTTAGGTTCATAAGGGAATTGTGAGACCCTTGTTTATTAAATTTTGTTGTACAGGATACAGCCCCAATGCTTCCATGCTGGTGCTATGACGTTGTATTGCCCCTTGAAAAGGTTTTTCTGGACTTCAAATTCTTCCTGGAGTTCCTCACCACATAGCAAGCACATATCCAATACTGCAATCTTATTAAAGGATGCAGTTTATGCATAATAGTATGCTGTAGTCTGCCAAAAAGTGGGGCAGAGTCATGGGGCAACTGTGGTCTTGGACTACCTGCACAGAGAAAAGTGGATGTAGTGGGAAAGCTCATGGACAAACAAAGGTTAGGAAAATGTTTTGAAATAGATTAGCATCCTTTGGGGTTACAGAGGAGCAAGTTCAAAGACACGCAAAATAAAATTGTAGAACTGGAACTATGTTTAAAATAAAACATTGTGTCCTAGAAACTTGGCTAAAATCAGCAAAGGGAGCTGGCTATAAAAACACTGTTATCAGGATGAGGAGGGTAGGAGAGATGGGCCTGTAATGAAATAGGTGTGGGAGGAAGAACATCTGTTCAACAAAAACATGCTTTCATAATACAGCCTTGTTATTTTAACTAACTTTGGGTTTAAATGGAAGAATGGGTTAAACACAGTTATAGGAAGCATAGGTGAAAACTCCTCAAGCATGAGAATACAGAACAGAAAAACCTCTGAGAATCTGAGGGCCAAGGGTAGCACAAGATGGTCACAAAAGCACTGAGTGATACTGAACAAGCTGAACCCAGATGTAACAAGCTATTCAGGCTCTATTTCCATGCTCCATATTGGCTTAATTAAATATATTCAATGTTTAGTGTGTCTTTCTTTGCCTTCAGTGAGGAAGAATGGAAGTTAGCTCAGAGAGCAATTTCAAATGCACTGCAGGTTGGTATAATCCTAAAAGTCCTAGGAGTGATGTATTAGTTTCACCATTTGTTCTAGTTGGGGTTTTTACTTTTGTTACATAAGTTATTGTGATAGTTTGTTCTGTTTTATGGACTATGACTTTCTGTCCATTTCTCTCAGAACTTTTGTTTTTCATTCTCTTCTCAATTGTGTATGTATTACATGACTGCTAGAATCTTGAAATAACTTTTGCATTTAGTTCTACTTTTCTCTTTAAAGAACTATTGTTTTCAATAGTGAATAACATGAGCTTTAAAGCTTTTCTGTTCTCCTGTGAAGTGTGAACCTCATGACATGAATTGGAGGAAATGGAGACTAAACTAGTATAAGAAGCCAGGACATAGCAGATGCGTAGTGGGGACCGAACAGCATACTTGGCCTCCCTCCCCTAAAGATGATACTTAATGTTCGCTGTCTTTTTGTCTTGTGTTGGACCCATAAAGATTGCAGAAATTATCTGCTGGGCAAAATAATTAAAGTCATCTCCTCCCTATCACATCAGTATGTAGCTATATGAAGATACAGGAGAACAATAATATAAATAGTTACATAAAGCAGTTGTGCTATAGAATATGTTAGGTATGTGTAAGTCTGAGTGTCTTTGTCTCTCTTACATTTGAAATGAAAAACATAGAAGTTAAAAAGCTACAAAAGGTTTATGCCTGTTGTATAAGATTTATGGATTATTTAATACTTCTTTTACTGAAGAATAACTTAGGTGATTTTGGTTTAATGCATATAAGGTAGAGAGTATTTTTGCTGAGCAGCCTGTACCATTTTTGTATCAGGAATGGTGGGTTACAGTGATGACCTAAAAATCATAGCTTATCCGTGAGTCACCCTCCTCTTCCTACTTATGGTAAAAATATTGGTCATTCAGATTCTGTTTAAGGGAGGAAACTGAAGTCAGGTGTGAGAGCCCTGCTCCTGCCTGAGCTCTTGACTGTAGGCTAGGAAGAGGTCCACCAAATATGGTAGATACTACTGTTTGAAATTATTCTGATCTTGAACATTTTTCTAGTGCAGGAGATGAGTGAAAATGGAGCCTTGAAGTAGTTATCTTGTGGCAGTCATTTTTGATCTTCATCTGTTTGCTTACATTTACAAAGTATCCAGCACTGTATATCTCTATATAGTGAATTTAAGCCACTTGACCATAAACCCTCATTTCTTAGTTATCTTTCACAGATCCTTTAGAAATAATCCATGAACCACAGTCTGAAAACCACTGCTATAGGGTATCAAGAGGTTACAGTGCTGGTGTTACTCCCGATTGTCACACTGAAGGCAGAGGAACCACGATTTTACACATTTGATCAAAGATCAGAAGCTTTTACTACTTTAACTCTCACAGTTTGTAATTGCTGCTTAGTTTTAAAAAGCAACATTGCAATAGAAAACTACTACTTAAAATCACTCAAAATATACTCCTGTGACAAATTATTAAACTTTGTGTAAATTATTAAAGAAATGTAACGCTGAGCACTGCGTTTAAGTGCAGATTAGGATGGTCAATAGTATATATTAATTTCTCTTTTAACATACAAAGCTACTGAGATCTTGTGTTCTTTTTTAATTCTCACAGCTTTTGGCAAAAGTTTCTAGCTGTACAGGCTTGCTCTATCATTAAAGTGATGTTTTCATGTCAGAATTAATTAGTCCCATATGCTTTATCACTAGAAAATAATCAATGAAAATCACTAAAAGATGCAGTTTAATTGAAAACCGATTAAAACAATAGTATTTTAAACCTGTTTTGTTGTATTTTTTTAATACCCAAAAGCAGGGTTTGTTGAAAAGTTGGTAAGGTTAGCATGTAAAGTCAAGGGTGTAAACACAAAGTCCAACTATAGTATCACCTGGTATGTATTTGGATAGACCCTGAACAAATGAAGACTGGATTCTAATGTACACATGTGCACAATGTGTGTACGACAAGGAAGTATTTACTCTTTGGACTAATATTGCATTCGCATCTTTCTTCTGTAAAACCATTAGCCCTGGAGGAGAGTGATTCAGGGCAGGAGGAGATGGTCAGCACTTTCCACATCCAGGTTTTAAAGCACTGACTGGCTGTTAAAGCACAGGAAGGGTCGTGGTTACAGAACACCTCCATAGCAGCAGCTTGGCAGACATCTACAAACCAGTGAGAGTGTCTGTTGGGTTTCAGCATCAGTAGAGTGGGCACTTGAAATGTGGTGTCTTAGCTGCAGAAGCAGAAGTCTGCTGTCATAGCCTTTTACATCAGCTATCTCTTAGCTGTGAATGCAAGTCCAGATATTTATAGTGTGCCTCTCTGTCTTGCACATACAGACAAGTCACTGAATGATTAATGATCCCCTTCATCACTGGGCCTGCACACTTCCCAGCAATTAAACAATAAAAATGACTCTCCCTTCCTTCCTGGTCCACAAGAAAGATTGCTTGACTGGTCTGTAGGGCTTGTTGGAGTTTTTTAGTTTTATATATAACTATTATATATGTGTTTGTATGTGAAAGAGAGAGAATATCTTACATATTTGTGAAAAAAATGAGGAAAGGTAAATTGAACAAATACATTTCAAGTTTAATTTTGAAGAGAGAAAGGGCTATATTTATTCTTTGGTGGGAGGAAGATTAATACATTATATTGGCTCCCATGAAGGTTTATCTCCTACTCATGTCCTTCCCTATGGACATCAGTTGTTGTGTTCTTGAGCACAGTAGTACTCAGGTCACACGTATGGAAAAGCAGCCACAAATTAGTTAAGTTTTCAGTTACAGCAGTCCCCACTATCAGTGTTCAGATCCTGAACTGGAATCAGGGAATGCAAATGCTATAGAGCCTTCTCACACCAGTATGGTATTAAATAGATGGTCTGCTTCATTTTTTTTTTATAACATGAGTTGGAGCTTTCACATCATTTGGCTTCATTTATGGTCATGGTGAGGAGCAAGAGAAGCTGGAAGGTCAGAAAAACATGAGACAGTGTGGGAAATATAGGCACAAATAATGCGTTCAGAAAAGTTTTGTACAATTTGCTATGAGGGTTTTTAAGGAAAGCATAATGCAGCTTTAAATATTTACTACCTGTGAGTGCTATAATACAGAATTACAATGCTAGAAAGCTTTAGGTATTTTCTGATGTGTTTATAAGCCGTTCTCATGCCAGTTTCTTTTGACCTCATTCAGAAATTTATCGTGTATTTTGGAAGTCACAATGCTTTCCACAATACTAGATGGTTTGAAATAATTTAAAAGTAGCCAGAGATACTCATCTTGGGGAAGAGCTTTTTTCATTTAAGGCAGTTAACTCTGGTATTTGGATCTCAGCTTTTCCTTTCTGATAGATTTTCCCCCACCCCACTGTGTAAAATCAGAGTCAAAATAAATCCAGACCAGAACCTGACAATTTTACCCATTTTGACTAACATCATCTGAGATTAACTCTTATTTCAACAGAACCGTAGTGGATTAAAATGCTGTGTGATATGACCAAGGTTATTTGGATCTAGATTTTATAAAGTAACATCAAATTATCATTTAACATATTGATATAGTACCCTTTTGTCCCAAATATACCAAGACAGAAGTTGCTTCTCATGATAGAAGACCCCAAAGCAAAACTCACTTCAGGGAATGCCAAAAATCCCCTCAGGAATGCAAGATTTTGAAGACAATTTTTTCCAGTTCCTGTCTCCTACTTCAGGGTTTCTGTTATTTCTTTGTGCATTTACTGCACTGTCCATAAATCTCCAATACTTTTTCTAGTGTCCAGCCTAACCTCCCCCTGGTTTATTTTATGATTATAGGATTTTGATTACCATTCTCTGTAGGATAATACATTTTAAATTAATTCAGTTGTCATGTTTAGTAGTAAAGTCTGACTCTCTGATGTAAAAGTTATTTGACCAATGAATAACAGCTTGTGGGTAAGAGTGCTGGAAATCTCTGATGCATGTTTGGTCAACATTGGAGATGAGACAGGGAACCACATACCAATTCTGTCTCCCAGACCATCCATCTTTTATAGAGAAGGCTGTGAAAAGATGTATCATGAAAGAAGTGGTATTTTCCCAGTAGAACCAGAGCTAGCATTTAAGGTATACCGTCCAAAGCCAGGGATGACTTGGCCATTAGTGCTAGATTTGTAACAAAGTTTGAAAAGTCAACTCTTTGCCAGGTTATAAGTCTCTGAGGTTTTCAATACCAATCATCTTTTTTAAATGCAGACAGAGTGGAGAGCACATCATCACTGGCCATGGTTATACTAAAAGATTTTGTTGTGTGATACAGATAAGATAAAATTTTTCTTGGGGTTGTTTTTTTGTGGGTGGCCCTCCCACCCCATGTGTTTACTCTGCATTTGGAAACTTGCACGTTTTCAGATCCAGCCCTGTCTCATGAAGGTGTTTCCAAACAGAGAATGACTGGAGGAGTGTCATGGTAAAGCTTAGACAGCTCATGTGTCAGGAATTGCTGGCAGAGAAGTGCTCACATCCAAGTCATAACCGTGCTTCCACCCTGTGATTAGGGAGGGTGTGGTGTGATGTAGCAGAGCTGTGCTTCAACACTTGGAGACTAGTGCAGTTTAAGCTAGTAACAGGGAAAGAATATTATGCGAACTTTTTTTTTTTTTTTGCTTCAATTTTGACATTAAAAAATCAAAGTTGTGGTTGGGATTACGTTATGCAAAAAGTAAAATAAAATAAAATGAAAAAGTATAGCAATACCATTTCATGACATCATGCAAAAAACAAGATAGAAGAAAAATCTTGAATTTCTGGTTGCATTTTGTGCTCTTTATAGAGAGGAGATAAAAAGGGAATGGACAGTTGTGGCATTTTCTCAGTGCAAGGTGGCAGGAGATGAAGGTACCCACTCCACCCTGCTGCTTAGAGGAAGTGGCGGTACTGTGCCAGCTCTTCTGGCTGTTCTGGATGAGCAGAGCAGTGTAAGTTTTGGGATATTACTGAAACCTCCAAGGGGGGGTGGGGCATATATTAAAGGCCTTTGGCCAGATTTATTCTCCACCCTCCTTAGATGTACCTCCTAAGAGGCAAAGCTCATAATTCAGATGGCCGTTCTCATTCATCTGCAGACCAACAGACACATACTCAGGATATACAGACCATTTTTCTTTCTAACAGGTTATAGAGCAGTAGTTTAAAATCAAATATATAAGGCATTTCAGATGCTCTCTTTATGCATGGCAGCTATCTTTGTGCTATGCAGAACAGTCATTGATGCTGTAGTATGAATCCATCTTCTTTAACCGTCGTACTGGGAATATAACTTAAAAACCATACCTTATTTGGAGCACTGAACACCTGTATGAAGAATGCTACTTCAACTAATATTCCTTCTTTCTTCTCAGTTCCTGCAGAACCTTTATTGTGCAAATTTGCTGATGGAGGACAGAAAAAGAGACAGAATCAGAATAAATATATACAGAATGGAAGAGCGTGGCACAGAGAAGGCGAGGTGAGACTTGTAAGTCCTCCCTTCAAGCTTTAGTGTGGGTGTACAATAATGAATACTTATGAAAATGATAGGCATTGAGACTTCTTGGCTTGGCTTTGGCATATTAAAAATGTGCAAGCAACTCTTACCTGACAGTTTGCAGCCCTATAAAATACTTAACTGTCTTTTTTAAGAGGAAAAAAGGCAAAATGTGAAACACTAAATCCTACTTCATTAAAGTGAACAATAAAATCTCCTTCAACTTGGTCAGGAAAATGCCCAAGATATTTCTCACATTATAAAACTACCTGAAGCACAACTTTATTTACATGTCGTAAATAATCCTTTAATTTATGCAGGACTGAAATTCTCATCGCTTTCATAGATTAAAACAGTATAACAATGCAGTGCAGTGTTAAATTTTTTTAGTCACAGCTTTTTAAATCTTTAATGTTCAAGATAGTTTCATAGGCTTACTGTGGTTAGCAAGCCTAGACACCTCATTTATATGAGACAAAATTCAAATGTGTCTTCTGAAAAATAGCACTTTCCATTCATTCTCGTAGTTAATATATTATAGGCAACACCCTAACATAATCATCTTCATGCTTTGCCTCTTGCACACACATATGTTTTTCTTAGCTAGGTATTTTGTAGATTGCATTTTGTTCCTCATGCTGGGAACTTGGAAATCTGTAGTCATCACCAATATCACTGACTCTTCACTATATAATTACTTCTGTGAATTAGACTCTCCCTAACTTATAGTAATAAATTATTTAAATACAAATTTTCAGTTAAAAATAGTACAACTAAAGAAAGAGTAAGAGAAATAATTTACAATCAAAATGAATTTTGTCAACTCTTCCTTTTCACTTTTTTTTTTTTTTTTTAAAGGCTGGAATGACACTCACGTATGATCCAACCACAGCTGCTTTACAAAATGGGTATGTTAAATAATGGCATACTAAGAAAAAAAATGTTTGCATTATGAAAAATACACAGAACTGGCATTTAATAAATAATTCTGCATTTTCTAGATTTTATCCGTCACCCTACAGTATTACAGCAAACAGAATGATCACTCAGACGTCTATTACGCCATATATTGCTTCTCCGGTTTCCACATACCAGGTTTGTATTTAGAACTTAGTAGCTGAAATGGTTCATCAGAGCTTATGTTTATTTATCAATTGCTGCAACTGGTTTTATGAATTCTCTAATAATGCTACATTCTAATGAAGTGGCCTCTTCATGCCGTACAGCATGAAAATGATGATCATAAAAACTAAGAGGCTGTTTGTTTCAGGAGGCATAGCAATTTAATGAGATATGTACTGTCTTGCAAAACAAAGTCTAACGTGCTGATAGCTAAAGGTATTTGTAGCCACTCATGCATTTCATGTATGATTTTTCATTCTCTTGGTCAAGTTCTTTTAGTGACAATAATATAGCTTTAAAATAATTATTCTTTATTTAAAACCTTCTTCATTTAGTTAAAATCTGTTTCAAAGCTATCTATTTCTCCATGCTTTTTGAACTTTTCTCCAGGTTGTTTCAATGCCAAAAAAAAAAAATCCCAACAGTAACACCACACGTAGTTGTATAAAGATGTGTACAGAAACTTGCTTGACATTAGAGAAGGAAAATTGAAAAAGAGTTCAAATTATATTATCATTCAATTTCAGTGTTTTTATATAAGGAATAAACCATTTATTAGTCTAGAACTGTGTTTCTAAACCAAAAGACACTGTATTTTGAACAATAAATTAAAACATGAATCATGCACTTTTTTTATTCTTACAGCCCAGTCCAAAGCTTCCTGAAAAGGAATTTTCATAGGTGTCATCTTGAGCCTCCACTAAGGGATATCGACAAACAATTCAACATTCTAAGAAATTACATGGAACAGTTTCTGTACTTTGATATAAATCTCTTAGGAGTGCTCAATTTTAGGGCAAACAACTTTTACAAACAACTTGCATTTAATGCCATTAGTATGGCAGTCTCAGATGTGTGCTCTGTAATTACTAGGTGAGACATGCCAATTATCTCAGTTTAAACTAAATAATCAGCTATTCTGACATGTTACTGTTTAACACATAGACAAAATAAGCATCAGTGATTCAGGTCAAAAATAACTAAAACCAATTAAATTATGAAAATTCTTATCCCTGTCTGTTAGGGGAAGGAGAAGATGCCATTTGTTTTTTAGTGAGCAAGACATGCTGAGTTTTTCTTGTTTACTATGGGCACAAATGAATTAGAAGGCTATGTAGAAGGCATGCAGAAGACTAAAAGAGTCACTGTGGGCCATTTGGTCAGTATTTCCTTGCAGAAATTTCCACATACCCTCCCAATCCAGGTGAGAAGAATGAGAAAGAATTGCCTAATACTAGTTTGGAGGTCTAGTACCTTCTTGTGTGAGCAAATTATTATGTAGGAGGTAAAACAGTGTACTTTGGGGTAAAGGACAGCTGGATTACTTTTATATCAATTTCTGAGGTGACTTATGCAACACAATGTTTGCTTGCTCTCAGCAGACAGTGCTAGGACTGTATTTTTCTATATATTGAATCATTCTGCTTTGTATAGCAATACCTCAAAAATTACAGTAAGTTTTTACCCAGAAAAATATTCCAGTAGAGTTAGCTGCTATTCATTGTTAAAATATAAATTATTTATCAATGTAAGACTTTCAGATACTCAGATTCCAAATAAAAGTTGGAAGTTGGCATGGAAATATACTTCTTAAGAATATAATATCACTTTAGTGGGCTTATTGAGGTAGGCAGACCACAATACTGTATGTTTCCAGAAATGTTGTTACCAGTATTTCAATATATAATGGCATGGAGCTTAAATTATTGTGAATGGAGTTATTAACATCATTATGCTTAAAGTGTCACAGTAATAGGAATTGAAAATTAAATTGAAGTATTCTGTATTGGGGAAGGAACTGGTTCTTGGCCAGAAGAGTTTCACAATTTGAATATTAGTCACATCTTCATTACTGGTCCCTTCTTACTGAAACTTGCATCGTTCTGTCATCTACACAACAAGACAAATCACAAGAGCATGATTTATTTATATTTCTTTGAGGCATGGTATAACCCGTTCCTAGATGTATTCTTATTAAAGGTAAACAAGTTTAAGAATGTTTTGGCCAGTATTTGTTTCTGTAAATCCTGTATACCCAAATGACAGTACTAAGCCAGTTACTATCATAGTATGAGTAGATTAGCCAAAGCTTTAGTCAGGCTGTACCAGTATTTTTGCCTTTAACATTTTGCCTGAAGAAAGGGGAGGGTTCAAGTGGTTTCCTTTTTTGAACTCCTCTTTGCTCTTTTTCTGGTTGAAAAAGAAAAAAAACCCAACAAACTACTCTGATTTGAAAGTCAGTACCAAAAGGAGGAAAGAGATATTTCCATCTTGTAGAAAATACTTCACCTTGATTTTTTTCAAGACTGTCTGTCTACCTGTCCTGTTCACAGGACTCTGCAAATGATGGTAAGAGGTGTTTAAGGGGCTTTAAATGTCCAGCAACAGTGGTGAGTCAGTTCTGCACATGTGGTGCCTTATCCTACACACCTACAGGAGGTGGGGAGGAAACATTCTTACCTTTAGTCTTTCTTGCCACACACTTTTACAAAGAGCTGTTGCAACCAGCTCTTTTGAGTAAGATAACCATATAACCTATTAGTTTACCTTTTAATCTTTTTAATTTACCTTGTCATGCAAAGTTAGGCATCCTACTTCAGTTTAAGTACTTAGGTAGTCAGTAGTTTTGGAGAGAAAGCATGCTAGTTGCAAGAGCAGGAATGCTCATCAGAATCTTCTCCTTTTCCTGTGCTTTGGGAATCACATATCGCAATGTTTTGGAGAAGAACAGTTCTCCCAAACCACGTCCTTGTTCCTGGAACAAGATTCCATCAGAATTCCTGGTTTCTTTTTCCCTTGTGAAAATCCAATAATTTATTTTATTCCGATCACACTAGGAGGCAAATGATGCTGTACCTTCTGAGGTCCAGATTACTTTTCCTCAAAGGAATTTCAAAGACAGAAGGTGCCTCCTTTTTCAAATCAGCAGAAATCTCTCATGCATCTACTTGAACCCTTTCAGTATACTTGATGAAGTTTGAGACCTGCACTAAAAACATAGTTTACTGTTCTGAAAGGTGTATGTAGTATATTGCCTCCAAAACTTGTTTCTGATTTACAGGTATAATAAATGCACTTTTCATAGAAATCAGTGTTGCTCCAGAGAGTGGCTAATTGCATTTAAAAATGAATAAATAAGGGAGTGGGCTTGTTAACATGATCTTTCAAGTTATTACTATATTCAGGAAAAGAATGACTAAAATGAGAAATAAAATACTGATTTTGTTCTAGGTTCAGAGTCCTTCTTGGATGCAGCCTCAACCATATATAATGCAGCACCCAGTAAGTTTTTGTGCTTCTCCATTGTTGTGTCACTGACTGTATAAACACTTCACCTACTTTAAACAACAGGAAACATCAATTCCTGCCCAGTTACTTCTAGATGTTTGACAATTACATCATGGTTAAATCATGGTTTAGAATAAAAAGAGAAACAAAAATAGTAACCTGAATTGGGGCTTCATTTTATTAGGAAGAAAAGAAAGGTGTCTTTGGGGTATCGAGGTGATGAGGACAATTAGAGGTACCAAATCAGCATCCTGAGGAAACTTTTTTTCTGTATTAAAATGAAAAGCACTTTACAGATACTGATGTTTTACATACTGTTTACCTATCAGGAGCTGGAATTGAAGACCCAAGGTTTTAGAATGGGCCTACAATAGGTCAGACTGGATAATTTGTGAAAGACAGATAGATGTAGTGATATAAATGACATTATGGGCACTCACTTGAGAAAACCTGCATAGCTTGTTCTGGCTTCACCACTCATGAGTAATGCTAGTCTCCCTACACTTTTGGCTGTGGCATCTGTACCAGACTGTCAGGCATTCTAATCTATAGTCTCCCATGATATTTTGCATTTTATCTATGTCATTTGTCAATTAAGTACCATTATATCTGAGATTTACTAGGTTTCTTGAGATGAGAATTACAAATAATAACAGGCTCTTTAGTATATGCACTACTGTAGTTAACAAAAAAGTCTGTTTCCAGATATAGAAAGGATATTGTCTTGGCTTTAATTAACCTCTCCATGCAGATTATAGAATGTAAATCTTCTTGGCAGAATGTTTTCTTCTTGTGCATGCAGAGAAGGTGGATACAGAACCAGAACACCCTCTCGCACACTTAACTGTTGCATTTTTTTTTTTATGTTAAACACACATGCACACAACAGGTTTTAACTTTTCTGTCAACACAGCTTTTCATTAAAAAACATCTTGCAAGTCATGCTGTGAAAGACACAAGTTGATATGTTATAATGCTATAAAGTGTGTTAGTTTTACAGGTATACAAGATGAGATTTCACAGTTGAAAATAAAAGATTTAGATTCCTGACTTAAGTTCAGTTTTGGCCTGTGCAAGGACCGGTGCTGTCTTGCTCATTTGCTTTGCAGAGAAGCCTGCAGTCTACAGACAGGAAATTCTTTTAGTGTTTGATGTGCCTGTGACTCATTTAATCTACACTGATCACATGGGTTTTTTTCCAACTATACTCTGCTTTTTTTTCTTGTCTTTTTTTCTTTTTAAGGATTAGTTATTGATTCAAAATACTTGCTTTCAGTGCACTGCAATTATTTCTGTTAGTTTTGAGCCTCCATCAATTTTAATCAACACTTCTACAAGCATAAGTCATACAAAATATTTGGAAATGTGTTTTTGTAGAACATGATTGGTAAAATGAAGTCTCTTGATAACCCTCTGTTTCAGATTACTCTGAAAACTTTACAAGTGTGCCCTCCATATTTAGCAATCTCCAGTGTTTAAAAATGTGGCATATATTTTTAATGAAGGTAACAAAATGGTACAGGAGTGATAGAAGAGCTATCACAGTAGCTAGTATTTAGACAAACAATCAGCATTGCTAACCCACTCTTCTAAAATCTGTGTGCTAATGAAACCAGCCGTTAAGTAGGGCAGCTGTCTTGTGTGTGAACATTGCATGGGATGGGTAGAATTCTAACACAAGTGTTCCTCCAAAGCCTCCTATCCTAAAGATGATATAAAAGTTTCCTCCTAAAGCCTGAAATTCCAAAGCTTAAGCTAAGTGTATCTATATCTGGTAACGTGCAGATTTTTGCTTTAAAATTAGCATCTGGTTAAACTCATATTTTACAGTGTTTTTAGCAGTTGTCTCAAATGCACTGTACATCAGTTTTGTGTTCAATAGGAAGTCAACGCAATTCTTGCCTCGTTACCAAACTCTGCATAACGCATCTGCTCAGGTAGAATATTCAGAATGCCCCAGACCTGCTTCCCGAATCATTGTGTTGGGTTAAGGAGAGTTCTTGTGGTATATCCCCTTGGAAGGACAGTCCATGCTGACTCTCAAATCAAAAATGTAACTAAAATCTGAGTGTTGCTGCAACCAGTTCTTTCTTTCTCTGTTTTGATAGGGTGCTGTACTGACTCCCTCCATGGACCACACCATGTCACTACAGCCTGCATCGATGATAAGCCCTCTGACACAGCAGATGAGTCATCTTTCATTAGGCAGTACTGGAACAGTATGTAGCAATTTAATACCAAATAGAACTTACACGAGTAGAAAATACTGGTGTGGAACAGAAATTGGAAATGAGTAAATAAAAATAGATTAAAAAAAAAATGAAAGGAACCCAGGAAGTAAGTCCAGACTTCTATCAAAAAAGAAAAAATAGGTGGTTTTACTCTTCAGGAAATTAGAGTTGCAGAAAGTAATACAAAGTGTGGAACAGAAACTAAACCAGAAGAGATGCAGGCTAACTTCTAAACTGAAAGACCCTTCTTTTCTAAGCAGATAGAATTAAAAAAAGAAAATATGATGATCAGGATTAACAGAGAAAGAAGAGTTCTTTACCTAGTCTTTGAAGTCTAAATTTGAGTTTTCTCAAAACAGGTATCTCACTTTTCTAAAGGGCCTATTGGTTTCAAACATAAAAGTCTTTCATGTATATTATATATATTGCTTTAGGGAAACAGTCATTATCTGTTAACCAGTATCGTGGTAGGCATTTTGAATACTCTTAAATTTACATTGGGCTTTTACTCAACTTAATGAACTCTGTGTCTTTCTTAGTACATGCCAGCCACAACAGCTATGCAAGGAGCCTACATACCCCAGTATACACATGTCCAGACAGCAGCGGTTCCTGTTGAGGTCAGTATATTTTATAAAAGACCAGATATAAGCGACATGAATATGATATTATTTTTTTTTTTTTGCTAGGAAAACTATTATTTAAAGCCTAACACTGTAACTGTCAGTGTACTGTGAATACAATGTATATTAAAACTAAAAGGTGTCAGTATTCTCAACTAATATAACTAACATTATAACAAAGAATGACCTGTACTTGGAGCAGTCTTCTGTATGAGCATACCTCAGATGAACTTTGTGTTTTGTGAACCCTAACTACCAGTAGGAACAAGCCAGGGGGTTTATTGTAGTTTTGATCTTTAATTTAGTTTTCCTGTGAGCAAACCTCTCTGCCAACAGACCATAATTGTAACTTCTTGCAAAGAATCCCAGTTTTACCCTGGCACCTCAAGTTAGCATGCATATTTGCACAGTCCACTTGAAGAACATAACTAAATGGTAGACAGTAGGTTGTCTACTATTTTACACCCTTTCATAGGTCAGTACTTCTTTAACAGAGGAACTAGACAAGGTATGCATACTAGAATGAGTGCTAGACAGTCTCTTCAGAGCCTATAAGAAGAAAATGTTTCATTTCAAAGTCTGTTTGTCCAGAAACTCCAGAATTTGTTTGGCTCAGTTTATGCATCTGCCCATGTGGACTGGAGAAGGACTTTTGGTAATTAGCTGATTGCACTGTCTGCTGGAGCAATATAGCTGAACTAATTCAGGGGAGTTTCTGGGGGATCTGTGTGCGAAGTCCCTACTACAATTCTTTGTGTTGCCTAGTACCAATTACACCACGGTACTCAAAGCAGTAGTGTTTGTACATGTGGTAAGTAGATCTCATTCTTCTCACTGTCCCTCAAAAGGAGAGGGGCAGAATGCTCTTTCGCATTTGCACATAGAAAATATACTAGCAGTTATTTGCTCCCTCTGTGTATTTATTTCTATAATGTCAAAGGTTTGTGGGTTTTTTTGATTACCATCAAAGCAGCTGAGGAAATACAAGGTTTGCATGAGCATTTTATTTCTATTTCCTGAAATGTAAATCAATGCAAAGTTAATGCCTCAAATTTGGAATACCCCACTTGAGAAATGTTAGAAAGATTTGAAGACTGTTAATTGCATGAGTCACATGGAAATAGAGATTGCAGATAATGCTGCCTGATTTTGTCTCTCATGTCTTGTCTTCCTTTTTATTTGCAGGAAGCAAGTGGTCAACAACAGGTTACAGTAGAGACGTCCAGTGACCATTCTCCATATACGTATCAGCAAAATAAGTAACTGTGAGGTAGGGGCTCATCCTGTCACATGAAAGCTGTGAATTCAAAGATATTTTATTTTATAACTTACAGCACTCTGTATTGAAATTTTTCTTATTTTTTTTAATGTAATATAAATAACACTGATAATATCTGGGGACAGGCAGTGATGTTAATTTGAACTTGGCCAGAATTAGAAGCCAGTAAAGGAAGCACAGGTTCCAGAAGTGAGCTAATGAATGATGAGTAATAGTGTTTCAATAATTTCTCTATAGTATAACTGGATTATGTTGGATTTTAATTTGTTCATATTGGCATCATGCTGTAAACAGGAATAACAGTGAATTAGTGCAAAAATACAAGAATCACAATGCTAAAGGGAACTGTATTTATACATATAAGGTCCTCTAGTTCTGTGGTACATGTAAGATTTGGAAGCAGCTTTGCGACTGACTTACAGACCACAGGCAGGGGGGTGGTCTGGTAGAAATCCTTGCTGACCTTTTCTCCTGAAGACTTCCCTCTTATCCTTTATTCTAGGAAAAAGCAGTTTGGTCCAGAATTTTGTCAATTAATTTTAAATCCACCTTGTTTATCTTTAATTCCAGGGTTTTACTTTCCTACTCCAGGTTTCCTCTGATTTTGCTTGCATGGCCTTTCCTTTTTAACTAATCATTAGCTTTACACAAACTCCTTCCATGCAAAATTTTTGCTTTCTGTAGATTGCCATCCTGAAAATACCGTTTGCACTAGCCATTCCCTTCTCCATCCTCCATGTTTTAAAATTCTGGAATTTAATACTTCCTTAAACCCTCTTTTTCTCAGTGCTTTGTAAGCTAGGTGACTTGACTACATAATTTTTTTAAATCAAATTTTGTAAGACTTTATACTGAAAAATTCCATTCAGCTGCAATAATGTGCTAGAGACCATCTTAGAAGGGTTTTTCTACAGCCCTCGTGGCATTTATTAGATACTGAAAAATCATAATCAGTTATGTGTGAAAAATTTTTAACTGTGTGATATTCTCCCTAAAATGTATAGATCTAACAGTACACACATTTTGACATTACCTTTGATTTTGCAGGTCAGCTGTGCTATTTAACAACACTGTTCTCATCCCCATTATTGGCATAACAACTTCTTTATATGTTCAAGAATATAAAGAAAGAAACAAACCAATGGGGGAACTTTGCACATCCAACAGATGGCACAGTCTGCATAGCACAACATATGACCTGTGTTTATTATTGTAGTCTGGCCAAATGCTGGCATCTAGAGGAAGCCCACATCCTTGATTTGCTTCCAGGGCAGGGAGAAAGCAAAGCCACAGGCTCTTCTTGTTACCCATCTCCTAGTGTTAAAATCATGACTCCTGCACGTTTCCCATGCCAAGGCAGTTGGCTGGTGTTAACTGCTTTTCAAGGAATTATTTGTTTTGCCTTCAGTCTTCCCTGTGGGCGTGTAAAACCTCCTTACCAATAGAGATCTGTGGTAGACAGTGAAGCGTAATCCTGCCTGTCATCTCCCCATCCTGCGTCTCTCTCCCAGCCTGTCAGTATCTTTACCATAGACTGGGGCCAGGCAGGAGGAAGCAGCGTTTAGTCTCCTGAAAGGATGAGATGTGTTGCCATCTGAGACACATTTCTTCTCTGTGTAGAATACCAAGCTCTGTGAGTAACTCTGTGTCCCAATCCTCTATGTATTTTATTCTTCAGAGAAGCACCGTTACCTGTATTTATATGCAGTAGGAGCCAGTGAAATCATGGAGTGGTTTGGGTTGGAAGGGACCTTAAAGAGCATCCAGTTCCAGCCCCCCTGCCACAGGCAGGGACACCTTCCACTAGACCAGGTGGCTCAAAGCCCCGTCCAACCTGGCCTCGGACACTTTCAGGGAGGGGAATCCACAACTTCCCTGGGCAACCTGTTCCAGTGTTTTGTCACCCTCACAGTGAAGACTTTTTTCCTCATATCTAATCTAAATCTGCCCTCTTTCCATTTACAACCATTACCCTTTGTCTATGCCTACACTCCCTGTTAAAGAGTCTCTCCCCATCTTTCCTGTAGGCCCCCTTTAATTACTGGAAGACTGCTTTAAGGTCTCCCTGGAGCCTTCTCTTCTCCTGGCCGAACACCCCCAGCTCTCACAGCCTGTCCTCATAGGGGAGGTGCTCCAGCCCCCCAATCATCTTCGTGGCCTCCTCTGGAGTCCAGAAATCTATGTCAGCAGTGACTATGGCAGTGGGCACGTGGGGAAGGTTAATATTACTGAGCTGATTTCAGCCTCAGTGTATGGCATTTGGTATTTCTGTCCCTGGAACTTGTTGGTACTTGTCATTTTTCAGATCAGTGAAGGGGAGGGAACTGGCGGTTATTTTTTGCCCTGAACACAGGGAACACTGCAGTCTCTTAATTGCTGTGGCTTCGTTACTATTGTCAAACTGAAACTTCTTTCTAAATGCACGTGCAGCACTTTTGGGAATGTCCTGTTAAAAGTCAATACACATATTGCCATAGATAAGGGATAAATGACAACTAGCACTTTTGCACAAGTGGATGCAGTCAATCAGAAATACACAGCATCTTTACTTTGCCAGCTACATTTAATAACTTCATAGCTTCTTTTCAAAAAGTTGCTATGTGAAAATAGTCAAAGGGACTTGAAAAAAAAAAAAACACATTATAATTACATATCGACCTATAAATGTACAAGCCTTAAAATACCAGACTTTGTCTTGACTTGAGAAATTAAAAAATTGTCTAAACCTTTTTTCATTAGCTAATTTTTAAACCAATATGGCGATATAAGACAACGCAGTGAATTGAAAAGTCTTCCTTCAAATTTAATGAGCCCTGAATTGCTGTTAAGTATTAGCCATCATGAAGGCACAGTAGCTGTCTCTGCATTAGCTGTTGTACATAGCCTCCCTGAGGCTGCATCAAAAGAAAGTTGTGTTCCCTTTCCAGAGATCAAAAGCCTTGGAGATGCCACAGGAGTAAGCTCACACACTCTACCACTTTTGGCCAATTAAAAGGAAATAACAATAACAAAACAACAAAGAAGGGAATAGTTTTGAATTCAGTCTCACAGTTCCCCATGGGAACTCTGCATGCTGAACAGGTATTAAAGATAGAGGGGAAATACAATACAGGCTATATCATGGCAGAGCGCCTTATCCTGGGAAGGGCCAAGCACCTGTAGTGCCACCTGTGTTATTTCTCAAATTTATACTCAGATTCACTTAGTCTTCTCACAGTTGTCTAAAATAGGAAATGGCAAATCATGTTTTATGGACAGCTACACTGGGAAAAAAGCATGCAATTGTAACTCTCCTCTAGCTCTGACCTTTCTGTGTTACAGATGTCCAGTGTTGACCTGGCCTGGAGAAGGGTGCAAAGGCTGAAACAATCATGGATTTTACTGATCAATTGTGCTTTAGGAATTATTGACAGTTTTGCACAGGTTCTTGAAAATGTTATTTATAATGAAATCAACTAAAACTATTTTTGCTATAAGTTCTATAAGGTGCATAAGAAAAACCTTAAATTCATCTAGTAGCTGTTCCCATGAACAGGTTTATTTTAGTAAAAAAAAAATTTTTATCAAGTGTTATGACGCAAAAAAAATATTCAAATTTCTGGGTATGCACAGATGACCACGAAGACTTATTCATGTGCATGACAGAATTTGTGTTTTGGTTTATTTTTATTTTGTTTATTTCGTTTTTGGGTTTTTTTTAATTGTATGAAATGGGTTTTCTGAAGTTTAAAATAGTAAAACATCCAAGATGATGTTCTGTGCTTGCAGTGTGTGAGTGTTGCTTTAGTGCAGTGTTGCAGTTATAGTGTCTGGTCTTTTAGCTTTCTGTTTTTCTTTTAATGTAGTGTGAAGTGTCTTATCCTTTTCTATAAATTCCAATTTGCCTTAAATCTTTCAATGCTGTAGCTGTTTCAGTAAGTAGTCCAAACTAATGGTGTAGAGTGCTTTGACCAAATGAGCTGGTCTATTATGCCTTGTAAAACAGCAGCATAGGGCTTTTAAAGGTAGTCAATAAAAATTGCTGAAAATTTGGCTTTTTTAATGTGTAGTAAGTGTTTTTAATGATTTTTCACATAATATGTAAGGTAGTGAAATGCAAGAGGGGAAAAAATGTTTTGTGTGAAACACATTTTCTGACTGGGGAAATTTTAATAGGATAAATTGTTTGTAAGGCCATATGCCAATAGTTCCCTCTGGTAGTTTGAATGATTTAGGAACTCTGCTGTATGATGCAATGTAAAATCTTTTTTTGCCTTTTTTCAGAAACTAACTTGATGTTCTAGTTTTAGCATAGGTAGAGTAGGGAGTTTGGGGAGGGAATATCACCGAATGTTTTTGTCCTTCCTTTATACTAATGATAGTGCTTTAGGATGAGGATTGTGCTGAGACTTAGCAAACAGAAAAGTTGCTATTACAGCAAAATGGCAAAAGCTAAAAGACTCGTTTTCAAACATACGCTGAGATGTAAGTAGAAGCATAATTGATTGGGTACTAGCTCTCTATAGTAGGTAAATAAAAATAAAAAGACTTGGCACTTTTAAAAGGTAACTTTACCAAAGAACAAAGAGCCAGTAACCAATAATTCTGATTTGTCTCAGCATTACGTCTTCTGTACTCTTTATTTTTGCCGGACCAGTTTGCGGTTAGGAGAATGTGCCTTTTTTGTACATTTGCATTTAGGTTTTATAATTTTAATTGATGTATGGACACAAAAGCATGAAGGAAGACTTGGATCCAAGCAGTGCCACACTTTACATCATCACTACAAGTGTTAAGTGTAAAGAAAACCAATTTTGAAACTATGAAATTCCTGATTCATAAATACACAGTTATTTGTACTACACATATTAGATAATTCACTGCTACTAAAGCTCTTTATTACAATTGCATATGTTTTAAATCAAATGATAAATTAAGTTGTCTTCCAAAACTGTGTACTTCTCTGGTCAGCTGTATATGATCAGTTATCTACCTCAAAGTTTATTTCCTTTTGTATTGGGACAGGTTGCTGGCCCTCCCTGTTTCCACAGACCAAATCATCCTAGCTCGGGAGCTAGGCCTAAGCAGTTGTTTCTTTCAAGTATTTTTTAGTTTTTAAATTTTGTGTGAGTATTGGAGTATAGATGTCGGTGACATTTCATAGTTTCAAAAGTAAATTGCTGCTCTGAGAAGTGTAGATTCTAGTGAAATACATAGTCATAAGAGATGTGTTTTTGTTTTTTCTTTTTTTAAAAAGTTGTGGTATTATTGGTTCTATGCTCCCTGGAATATTACTGCTTTGTAAAAGTCCAGACTTCCTGCAGCACCTTGCCTGTATCTGGTAACTTTCCAAACCTAGATCTCTCACTACTTGATATTTTTGCGTTAATTAAAACTGCAGTATGATAGCTGTGTTAGAGGGAGGGAAGAGCTGCTGCCAGAAATGTCTGAACTAAGTGCCATACTCATTGTCTGGGTAAGATTTGGGAAATTTAACCTCTGTACATAAAGAAATAATCAGTTACTTAAACATCACATAGTAGACAGCCATTAAATTATAAAAAATTAATTTATGAAGAAAGACCTTTTGTACAGATTGAAAAAAAAAAAAAGATTTTCATAGAGATATCTATATGATCAAGAGAGTTAATTTTTTATTTTTGTTTTACTAGTGCCACAAACTTGCCAGTGGTAACTTATTTGTCCGGTTCAAGATAACTCTGTAGTTTTGTTTCCTAGGACTTGTTGTTAAACGCCAAAAGACATTTTTGAACTGTAAATTTGATTAGATTGTTAGCTTTTTTCTGTTTTATTCCTTTGAAAACTTTTGAATAAAAAAGATCCAAAAAAATGAAAATGCATTGTCTTTTTCCTTCAGCCCTTCCTTTATTGGGGGAAACCCCAAACAGGTTATGGTAAAACCTTTGTGTTTATTTTGAAGTGCTCAGAGTTGTTTTCTGCATTACAGTCTGGGTTCTTCTCTCTGTCTTTCATTAAAATCAAATTTTAACTCTTTCAAACATTACAATGTAACTTTCAGACAAAACAGGGAAAGATGTATGAAAAATGATGATGAAATCTGATTTGAATGCAGGAACTCTGTTGTCCTCTGTGTTACCCTGCACACTGTAGTTGTAAACACAAGCCAGTTTTCTAGAAGCAAGGGTGGAGATGAAGGGTCACTTTGGTAGTTCGTAGCATTGAACTGCTGCCTAAAAGTGCTTTCATCTTCCCAAGCGCAGTGGCGTTGGCTGGCATACCCGCTTCTGGAGAGCAGAGGTGATACTTCACTGGAGTTCAAAATGAACCTGAGTGTTTGCCTTCCAGCTGCAATCTTGAAGAGCTTTATTTCCTTAAAGATAATATCTGATTTTATTATCCTTTTGGCAAGAACACTACTGCTGCTGATGTGTATCAGCATCCCAAAGCAAGGCTTGGGAAAGAAAGAGAGGAAAATACAAACCATTGCATCTCCTCAGCCAAGTTCTTTACCAATTGCATGGTCCTCAACGTGGCTTTGTATCGATGCGTATGGCAGGAGCGGGGCTCTGACCTTGTCCTGGGCTCCCGAGGGTGCACCCAGTGTCAGGGAGCAGTGCCTGGGTGGGCTCCTGTGCCTCGCTACCGGCGCTGGATCAGCAAAGGGGATGCGTGCTCGCCGCAGGCTGTGCTGCCCTGGAGAACCCTCTGCCCCTGGGGAGACGGTCCTTGATGTTATACTCCTGGTTTTCACATATCCCAAGGGCTCTGCCAGCCCTGCAACTCATCGGGTTGGCTGGGGTCCCAGCACGCTGCCGGCAGCACACAGCCCAAGTCTTCCATCACACAGTAGTAATACAAGAAACTGAGTGGATTTCCAGTGGAGCTAGTGAAAGGGGCTCACCTAGAGGTTAGGAAACTTGATTTACATTAGTTTATGCAGTAAAGACATCCTTGACAGTGGTGGCTCTTCTTATTAATGAAGAGAAAGAAACCTCACGCTGTATGCCACTAAATACGTTTAGACTCCTGTAACTGAAGAAAAGTAATTTTTACCATTTTGTGGTATTTAAATACTGGCCCAGTATGTTGCTTGTCTAAAATGCAGTGGATGAGAAGATGAATACAGAAAACTTTTAAAGGGTTTTGTTACATTATTCCTGTTCACCACCTTACTGAATTAATCTCAGATTAATAAGCAGTCTTTTTGAATTAAGTATTAATACTTCCTTACAAAAGCTATGTGTAGTAGACTCAGAATAATGCAGGTTGGAAAGGCTTTTTGCTATCTGTTTGCTTTTCTAATTAGCCCCATGATAAACTTAGCTCTCTTACCATAACTCTAAATATATTTGATAAGAATGAATGCTTTCAGATTAGTACTTTTTGCCTGATCTAATAAGGTTATGTGTATCATTTCTATCAGGAAATCTGCAATAATGCAATGTCTTCGTGTAATATACTTTTATTATATATAATAAAACTCATTACCAACTGGCTAGTTGAAACATTGACTCCATCCTGTTGCATACAAGTTGTTTTGAACCCTATTTGCAAACATGCTGTTAATAAAATGTTTTACCTGTTAACAAATACTGATAAGCATCACATTCATGTGGGATGATTTTATACTGATAGAAATATTTCGTGCAAGATTATGCACAGACCCTATTTTTTGTCGGTTGTTAGTGATTAGAAAGTAGCCTTTGTTTAGGTGTTGAACAAAATCTTATCTTCCTCTTCTCTAAATTAACTAAACTGGGCAGGTGCAAGACAAGTCCAAGCAATGCATTAAAAGCAGCGTAACAAAGTACTGTTGATAGCTGAGCTGTGCTAGTGACTGCATATACTGGACTGTAATATTTGTGGAGTAAGTCAGAGTAGTCTAAAGCACTTTCCTGGTACCTTTTGTCAGGTTATCTCAGGAAAAAAAAACAAAACAAAACAAAAACCAACCAACCAACCAAACAAACCAAACAAACCAAAAACCTTCCCTTCTAGCTTTAATTCTTTAATTTATGCTATGGTACCTCCACTATGCTAGACGAACTTGATGATTGACTAAAACTGTGCCACCTCACTTTCTGCAGCAACAGCTAACATCATATGAGAAATCTCTTTTATGTGCCAGAATATTTATATGAGTCTGTACTCCTATTCCTCCTGTGCACACTTCACTGCACTTGTTCCTTTTGCTTTGATCAACCACTCCAAAATTATTTGCAAACTTTCATATGCGTTGGAATAAGATACTCAATCCTATCGTGTCCAGCAGTGTCTTACTGTGAAAGCCAATGTGTTATTTGGTGGCATTTAAGACATGTATGCTGTTCCCTTCCAAACTCTTGCAACACTGACGTACTCTTTCAACTGTGAAAGATCAGCTGTATCATTCCCTAGCCAACAAATTCTGGCATTGATTAACCCAAACAAATCTGAGGTTTTTGGCTTTCAGACTTGGTCCATTAATTCTATCCAGAATAGGGGTTAGGATATACAAAACCTATTCTGTTTGGCAACTTCTCCTCCAGCTACTAAGAAAAGCCAAGCTGGTGTCTGAACAGTCACCAGAGGGAGTGTGTAAAAGCCTGCACGTGGAATGAGTCAGTCCTTCCTTTTCAGGACCTCTCTAACTGCATCTACCATCTGAGAAACCTGCACGGCCCATTTCTGTAGTAAAGAAGAAATCATATAAAGGAAAATACTACTGTTTTGTTTTTGTTTTTTTTCCTATGTCCAAGAAGAAAGGACAGCTTGTCAACAGTCAAGCTTTAATTGTTTAACTTATCTCACCTTTTCAACAGTATCCACTCACTCAGTATTTACATCAGCGGTACTCCAAATTCTGCTGTTTCATTGGTTTCTCTTCAGCTGAATAATGTGATCTCTGTCAACAGCTTCATTGGGACAGAATGAGGTTTTGTGAGAAATAAAAAAATGAAGGTGTGTGGCACCCTAAAGACTTCCCATATGCATACTACAGGTGTTCAGATCAACCTGCTCAGGCAGTTTTCTAAGTAGCTTTATTGTTTTAGAGCCTAGCATGTTAGTGTTACCAAGGGAAAAAATGTTTGGAAATTTATT